TATACATAAATGCTCAGAATGAATAGAGAAGTCGATTAAGCCATGTCTGCCCGGCTGTCCGTCCGTAGGTCCGTTGGTATGTAGGTTTCCATGTATCCAAGGTAGGTTGATATTGAAAATGGGCGAAATCGGACTGGCCCACTGGAAATGGGCCCACTTCCCATATAACGGCAATTTTCAGAAATACGAAAACTGCGATATTTTAGTAACTACTAGAGATTAATCATTCAAAATTGATACTTACCATAAGTTTTAGACGAAAAATAAGAATATTAAAAATTTTTGGAAAATGGGCGTAGCCACGCCCACTTATGGTTACATGTGTATATCTTGGTAACCGCTGCACCAATTTCTTCCAAACTTAGTTGTTGGCCACGCCCATATCCCATATAACGGTAATTTAGAGAAATACAAAATCTTCGATAAATAAAGCTAATTTATTCAAAATTGATGCTTGCAACAATTCTTAACCAAGAAATACGTTTGTGATAAAATTTTGGAAAATGGGCGTAGCCACGCCCACTTATGGTTACATGTGTATATCTTGGTAACCGCTGCACCAATTTCTTCCAAACTTACTTGTTGGCCACGCCCATATCCCATATAACGGTAATTTAGAGAAATACAAAATCTTCGATAAATAAAGCTAATTTATTCAAAATTGATGCTTGCAACAATTCTTAACCAAGAAATACGTTTGTGATAAAATTTTGGAAAATGGGCGTGGCACATTATGTATCTCGGTAACCGGTCTACCAATTTGTACCAAACTCGGNCTTAACCAAGAAATACGTTTGTGATAAAATTTTCGAAAATGGGCGTGGCACATTATGTATCTCGGTAACCGGTCTACCAATTTGTACCAAACTCGGTTGGTTATTGCGCTTGCCACATAAAAGCAAAACGTTGAAAATTATTGAAATCGGACTAAAATTGAGGCCGCTTTTCATATAACGGTAAATTTCAGAACTGCTTGAAACTTCAAAATTTCGAAATTTAAGGACTCTAATTTATTCAAAATTGATGCGCCCCGGCTTACCATGTAGCGGTAGCTTTCGGTAAGGTGAAAGTCATATATTAAATACTTGCGCCGGGTATTTAATGTTCGGCTTCGCCCGCACTTAGATTTTCTTACTTGTTTTTTTATTATTTTTATTTAAACGTTTCTCATTTTACAACCATATCAAGATATTTTGTTTAACTTTTTACTTAAATTGATATTGAATTTCCAAATAGGTGGCAACTCTCTTCAAAATATTTTTGAAATAAAGCTTTCTTAAACTACTGTCTTTTGATGCCTATATTGAATTATGTATTTCATTTAACCTATTAATTAAAATACTTTTCATTTTCTAAACAGGTGGCAATCATCTTAACAATTATTTTCGAAACTAAACCTTCTTCCACCTTTATCGTAAATTGACTTTAAGTTTTTAAACAGGTGGAAACCCCCTTGAAAATTATTTCTACATAAATCATTATTGAACCCTTTTCGTTCGACATCCACTAAGGGTCCGTTGATCAAAGCCTGCTTGACACTAAACTCCGGTTAACGTCGTTATCGACGTCTTCGACTCCATGCATATAACACGGTGTCGGCAACGTACATATCGATGTTTAACCTGAGATAAGTGTCAACCAGGCTTTGAGCAACCGACCCTAAGGGTCTGATTATGCATACTTCGCATAACTTCCGCACAACCACTGGTACTGCTGCAATTGAAATGTCACTTAAAAAAATGTGAGGCAAAATCTAAACTCAACAGATCGGTAAGTTTTTACAAGTTCTGCTAATTTCCGGGTAATGGAGTGATAAAACCCTGTGTTTTAATTAAAGTTGTCTAAAAACATTTGACCTTGGGCCGGCACGGCTAAGAAATCAAGAAGTAAAAAGGTCGCCAAAACCGTCAACATTGAAAAACTTAACTTTTATAAAATTGCACGAACGTGCCAATGTCTTTCCGTTATCTAATTTTGAAAAATTTTCGGAGTTTTTTTGCTTGCTTTAGATGTGCCAAAACTTTCGTTTATACGCAAGTAAAAGTTTTTTTTTTTTAACATAGTTATATTCCCCGAATCTTCTCTGAGTTTAAGTTAAGTACATATGATACAAATTGAATATACCCCCGCTCTTATAAAGAGGCCCCACGTCTTCGAAGAAATGGCCCTCCAGAAATTAAAAGCGATTTGTTTGCTTGTGAATTTTCTGCAGAGTCGAGTCTAACAGTCGTTCATTTAGCAAAAGTTCTAAAGACTTTTGTTGGGTTAAGAGAGACTCAGAGAGCTCTATGTTCTTGGTTCATCGAGCGATAACCAAAGTAAACGCGATCATTTGCCTGCAAACCCGCTGTGGAAGTTTAAAAGCCGCCTTAAATGAAAATCGCTGGGAGAAGTAACATATAAAGTGTGGTTGGAGTCCCCTGTACATATTGTATTTTTTTGTCAGAGTCTGGGAGCAATTGGACGCTCTAAATTTAGTCCACCTTAGCGGTAGAACATTTCAAGTACATATTAGCCATTCTTTTTTAAAGCGGACGCATTTCGTAAAAAAAATTATGTGATGTCTCCGATTCGCTTAAATTTTTTTATGGGTTCTAAACATAAAATAAGCTAAAACGTATTCAATGAATTTTTTCTTTCTTTTTTTCTTCGGAGATATGATCTCTCCTGTACTTGTTAAAACCATTATATCTAGCGTTTTGCTCATCGTAGAAACTTTATCTTAACGTCGTTTTAAAGCTAAAGAAACGGGCTCAACATTTCTAAATATAAGATGGTCATAATTGTCCTAAAGCTAACTTAGCTATTATCAGTTAAACTTTTTGAGGATAATTTGCGTAAATAAGGGATTTAAAATTACACTATCGTAATCCTTGTATAATTCGATATAAAATCCATACTTCAAAAAATTGCCGTTTTTCGATACCTATTGTTAAAATATCTTTTTTTTATGACGATCGGGTTTTTGCAAAAATTTTAAGTTTATTGTGGATTTCGAAAGAATGCCTATCCAGAAATAAGATTTGTACGTCAGAATTTTTCTTTAAGGCGACAAACCCCTAGAAATGGGCGTGGCAATTGTAGGCCTAAAGTTAGCAAAACGCAGATTTTATTGCGGGTTTTTTCAATCAAAGAATCTTCTAGAAATGGGCGTGGCAATTTTAAGCCCCAAGTTCAAAAATTTAGATTTTATTGTGGATTTCGGAAGAATATCTACATATGTACATATACTGCGAGTTAAGGACCGTTTGCACCATGTCTGGTTAATTCTAACTCCCAGTTAAATATCGTTATCGACGTTATCGAGACACAGCACGTGATCGATAAAGCATTTGATGTTCTAAACTGAAGGATGTACCTTCAGTTAGCTTTAAGCAAACGGCCCTTAACTCGTTTGAAAACCACTTTAACGCAGAGTTGTATCAGAAATCTTTCTGCTTCAGCCAATCAGAAAAGTTGCAGCTCCATAGCAGTTTTTTCAGGCATTGTGGCTCGAGGCGAATTTACACAAAAAAAAAAATGAAAGAGGTGAACAAAAGTACTGAATAAACCAAAATGGCAAAGGAAGTATCAATTTTATCGAACTAGCATTTTTTAGTCTAAGATCTTATTTGTCGAAAAACTCATTCCTACACCATTCTCTCATTTACTGCGAAATGTGGCGTTGCTCGCCTTAAAAGCCTGAACGACTTCGAAAGCCGCAGCCTGAAAAACCCGCTATGGAGCTTCAGATAAAGAGGCAAAAGCGTCATTTAACACGCCAATGTTCAAAAAATTTATTTCCCAAAAATATTTAAAATGAATGTCCATCAAAAAAGGGGCCAAGGCGATAATTAGTTGTTATCCATCATGCCTCATGGTACGCAGAGACAACTACATAAACTTACTGGTAATATCATGAAGCAGACATACGCACAAAACAAATTGAAACACAGAGACTTGATTTTTATTTATTTATTTTATTTTTTTAATCAATTAACAGTAAAAATTAAATCCAAATATTCACCGTGAACGATTGTGGCTTACGAAAAGCTCTTTCATTTAACAAGTTATATAGGGCCAATTTGAACGTAATATTAGCTAACCTACAGTGTAATCTACTGAGTTCGTTGCAGCTATCCTTACTACCTACATACATATTTGCCATCTCAAACTATTCATTTTAAAAACGATATAGTCCATTCCTATGCCCACACAAACATATATATGTACATATATATGTATGTACATATGTCAACCGTTAAAATATTGTCATGGCAACAAAACATTTCGTGAAAAATTATTGAACAACAAACGGCTGTACCTATAGATTTAGTCGTATTGGCTATTTTTCGACGTGTCTGCTAGAATGGAAGACTACGCCCCAAGTCGATATAAAATGCTGGAAAAGATTGGAGAAGGAGTGCATGGATATGTATTCAAAGCAATCGATCTGCAACGGCAAAAGCATGTAGCTATTAAGAAAATTGCTTTGAAAAATAAATTCGGAAACATTTCACTGAACACTTTACGGGAAATTAAAACTTTGCAGTTGTGCCAGTCCAAATATGTAAGTAAAATGTATTGCTCTTGCATTACCCGATAACGCAACGATTATTCGTATACACTTTTTACATCAGATAGTATCGATCATTGATATATATCCAGACTTAACCGGACTAGCCTTGGTATTAGAATATATGCCGGAAACTTTATACGGAAAATTGAGGAACGAAGTAAATCCTCTAAATAGACAGCAAATTCGGCAATATACACAAATGATGCTTAAGGGGATCGAATATCTGCATAGCATGGGCATAATGCATAGGGTAAGTGATGTGAAGTACATATGTATGTACATATATACAAATATGTACCAGGTGTGGGCACTTTGTGAGGGGTTGTCATATTGATTTTTCATTAGATCCAAAATTTTTTGAAAAAATGGTTGATAAAGAGAATACTTAAGACTGAACAATTGCAAAATTTTTAAAAGGTTATACCTTATTAAAGAAATATCTTATATTGATTGCGTCCTCATCTGTTATTATCTAATGGGAGTTCAAAAAAGGTTAAACATTCGTTTTTTACACTTTAAATCTGAAATATTTTGCCTTAGATTTCGCAAAACTTATGTCATTTGAGTTAGTCTGAAGCTTGCATAGTAAAATTTAATCTTTTCAGTATTACGTATTCAGAATATTTTACAGGACAACCTTGTATTGTGTTGTTGAAAGTTTAAGCTCAACACGCTGTAGAAAATAAATGTTAAAAGCTAAATACAATCAATTTTTATGTACAAAGTTTAAGCGCTTACGAGGCATTTACGCCCATATTATACCGAAAGAGAAAATAACTCAAAAAGAACATAAGCGAAAAAAATATATTTTTATATTCTGCCTAATCCTGAGTTTAGCCAGAAAAAAATTTCAACCGAAAATTTGTATTCCGCCAATATTAAATACATGGAAACCAAACGTGAAAGTGAACCGGTTTGGGGAAAATGAAACTGATCAGCCGATATGTAATTATCCCGTGTATTTTTTTTGTTTTTGCTTTTTGGTACATTAAGATGTCAAAACGAAAGAAAATGGGAGATAATTTTCGTCATTTTGTTGACATCCTAGAGTAGCGCTGCCATAATCCTGAACCCATCGTCCAGGAGACTTATTTCCTATAAATACAGTTTCTTTGGTTCTGGTGCAAATTTTGTGGCACAATTAGGGCTGTGCGATCAATTGATTACTCAAAATTTTAATTAATCATAAAGTAAATAACTCAGTTATTCGATTAATTAGAAATTATGATTACTCAAAAGTTCAGTTACTCGAGTTGTCAAGATTTTTGATTAACCAAAAAAAAAAAAATATTTGAGTAATTTGCTTGATGCTTAATCAACATTTCGAGTAAAATGAGTAATCAACATTTCAACTCTTTACATATGTATAAAGTAGTTAAAGTTCCTTGATCCTTTGAAAACAACGTTTCTGTTTTCAAAAATTAAAACGAAAATGTTTTTTCATACACAGAATGTAAAAAAGAAAATAAGCATTTTCCAAAGCAAACTCTTATACGAGCAAAATTTTTTTTTTTTGAGTAATCATATTTCAAGTAGCTCGATTAATCATCATTTTGAGTAATCAAAATCTTGATTACTCGAGTAATTGATTAACCGAATAATTGATTAACCAACTTGCTCGAGTAATCGAATAATCGCACAGCCCTAGGCACAATCCGTAGAGCTGAATGATGGATGATGAAACGCTCAAGTTCTGATTTTTTTTAGTCATAAAAGAACAAATTTCTCTTAATGGTGCCGTAGCTTGGAAAAATGTTTGGCGCTTTCAACGTGGTCTTGAATGCTTGCCTTAGCAAATTTCCACATATCCTATAATGCGCTTCATGATCATTTTTGCCATTCTTTATATGCATAACCTAAAGAAGCCATTTTGTCTGAAGTGAAGCCATTCCAAAAGACTTACCCAATAAGGACTGAAAAAGGTGCTTCCCTGCATGTTTCCTAGAAAGGGGATTCCTATTTACAATTTACGGACATGTACTTATGTATATGTTTATATTACTCAGCATTACAAATGGGATTCAATAAGCATTTTAAGGCTCAAAAAACATATTTGATCTGAACCTTAAATATTTAATTCCTTATAGTCCTTCTGGAAGCTCTCCCTTGAGTAGCGAAAGCAGAAACCCTTCAATTTGTGCCACTCCATGCAAAAATGGAAGGAGAAAGGAATGACTTTCAGAAAGGCCTTTTGGAAGAGATTTTAACTCTTGAAATTATCTGCTGTGTAGTATGTGTGACCCCTCAGCCGTGTACCTGTTCAGGAACTAGCACTTTTTTTTGGCATTTGCCGGAAGATACAAAATTAGAGTTTAACCAAATAAAGTAAACAAAAATTTACCTTCTTTCTCACCAGATATTGGGCCGTATGAATAAAAACTAAGCAATTGCTTTTTCTTAAAATTTCATACCTTTTACTTAAATTTTGTTTGAATAAATTGAGTAAAAGATTTGTAATTTTAAGAAAAAGCAATTGCTTATTTTTATTCATACGGCCCATTGTTCAACATGTTAGAAAAAATGTTTCATTATCGATTTTCGACTTCTTATGGCAGAAAGCTTAACTTTTTTTCAAAGCAAAAATCTGCTAAAAATTAGATGGGCGCCTCATTTCATTAAAAAACGAGGACAATTTAGGTGTGGACCAGGACACCAGGACAATTTGTTTAAATCAGGACAAATCCTGGAAAATCCGGACGTCAGACAACACTACTTTAGGTATTTTTTCAAATTTCCTCAACAGTGGGGCCTAAAATAAATGAAAAATCTTTTTTTTCTTAATTTTGTTCTTGATTTATGATAAATTATCTCATTTCCATTTAATTTGTTGACTGATCTTACAAAGCAAAATAACTTGATTTCAGTAATATAAATTGCCTATAAATTACAAATGAGCGGTAAATCACGATAATGTGAACATACTTTAAGGTCATTAATGTATACCTATTTCTTTTAATATTTTCTGTTGCATGCAACCAAAATTCCGATCAGCTATACCTTTACTTGCAAGTTTTTGCTAACTTTGCATTCACTGGTGATCTATTCGAACAGACTAAAACGGTGTTCACATGAGGCAATTTTACAGGCAATTTTTAGTTGAAAGCAAAAATCGCCAAGTGCGAAAGGTTTTTTAACTAGTTGCTTCCAATGAGACAGCCAGCTTTTGATTCAACTAATCGCCTCTAAAATTGTCTGCAAAATCGCCTCATGTAAACACCGTATAAATAACTTTACAAGAAACCGTTGGCTGCATTTCTTTATTCATTCTGAACGTTCGGAGTAAACTTTTTTGTTTACTTATTCTTTAGAACGTTCCTGATGATATGTTAACGGGCTGAGATTTCCTATAATGGACCATTTCCTATATCACCCAAAGTATTACGAATTTTTTAATGAAATTCGCAGGGGGTGTTGAGGAGGTGCTCATTGACCGATATCATCAACATTTTGTGTACAAATGCTAATAGTTTTTAAGTTATTCGTTGTTAAAATTTCCCCACTGCTTCACAATAATTTTTTTATAAACACTGCACTAATCACTTTTCTTTTTATTAATACACCATCTTTTCTTCATAAACAAATGGATGCACATCTTTTTTCACTAAATATTTAGCCATTTATGCTTATAAAAGTGTTCTTAAAATATTTTTCTATTCACAAAGAATAGTAAACACACAATTGTTCAGCGATGGCCGCCATGAATGAGGTGCCATATCGTTGAAAATGTTAATAGTTCTTTTTAGCCAAAAATACTTTGTGATGCATTACGGGATTGAAGGCTAAAAGGAAAATATTAATTTTACGGTCTTATTTATGCACATATATTTAAGAAATTTTCGCCTGCGGCGCTTTTTTCTAAAAAATCCAATACTTCCATATATCTTGAAAATTTTTAATAAAAAATCGCGCGATTTTTTATTACAAATTTTCGCCTGCGGCGCTTTTTTCTAAAAAATCCAATACTTCCATATATCTTGAAAATTTTTAATAAAAAATCGCGCGATTTTTTATTACAAATTTTCGCCTGCGGCGCTTTTTTCGAAAAACTACAATACTTCCATATATCTTGAAAATTTTCACCTGCGGTCCTTTTTTTTTTATCAATTCTTCCATATATAGTGAAAATATCCAATAAAAAAGCTATATCATATATGTACATGTCCACTTTATTATTTACGTTTTCGTTGATTCCCTTTTCAGTACTTTTTTTTACACATTTTTTGTGATGTGTGGCAGCACCGCAATTTCAGTTCACTCGATGTACAAAGGAAAATGTGAGGTTAAATTGCACTTTTTTTTACAACTTTAACAACGAATTACTTAAAAACTATAAGCCTCCGGAGGGGGGGTTTTCAGATTTAGAATCACAAAAAGCCGCTCTAAACCCCCTCATTTTTTTTTTTTCAAAGCCTGGTCCATTATTGGAAAATTTTCCCTGTTAACGTATATTTCAAACGTATTCCGTTTATACCGGCTGTGAAATGGGTTTATCCGGAATGTATAAAGAAACGCAGCATTTGAATAACCTAATAATTTCATGCATATGTATATACATGTGTATGTGTGTTTATAAATCTTAAATTTCGTGTGCAACGAATGAATTTAAATGTTTAAATATTAAATGCTAAATCATCTGTTGTTATTCGCAGGATATAAAACCGGCCAATCTACTCATAAGCGAAGACGAATCTCTAAAAATTGCTGATTTCGGTTTGGCGCGATTATATTTTCCAAAAGAAGAAAATAAGTTATATTCACCTCAAGTTTCGACGCGTTGGTATAGAGCACCAGAAATACTTTGGGGAAGTCAAAAGTATAGTCCCGCTGTGGACATGTGGGCTGCCGGCTGTGTTTTTGCAGAAATGCTGAGAGGAGTTCCATTATTTTCCGTAAATATAAATGTCAAGTCATAAAAAAGATGAATTGAAAATATTATATTTCAGGGTTCGACTGATATCGAACAACTGGCGCTTGTAATAAGAACATTGGGTAGTCCAAGACTCAATGAGTGGCCGGAGCTTACGTCTTTACCGGACTACAACAAAATACGGTAATACTAAAAAAATTAAAAAATTTATAAAAAATAGGCCGGCGCACAGTGAGCTGAAAAGGGCAGTGCAAATTTCTGAAATATCTGGAAATATACAACTACGTGTTTATTTAGTTTCTATACATGTCGTCTGACACGTTTTAAGACTTTCTGAAAAAAAAAAATCGATCAAGCAATATTTAAAGAGCACAAGAAGTATGTTATATGATTCAGAGTTGGGGGTAGTGCATTAAATCTTGAGTATAGTTGGCATTTCGGAAGCAGTAAATATATTGACAAAGATTATATTTTTCAATATTTATTGATAGCGGTAAATTTTTCCAATACCACTAACAACTTTGTTGATAGTGCTATTTTAGTGTTGCCAGATTTTTTTTGTTAAGAAAAGGTTCTCGCGCAATAAGCGTTTTCGTAAAGCTCTAAAAATTACAACTACAACATTTGAACATAGCCTCCATATCGAAACGTAAGACGTATTCTACGTCAAAATGATCGTCACATAAGTTATTTTGACAAAAATTCATAGATATTCATAAACCAGTCTTATACATATACAAATATCGATATAAGTAGGTATGGATACTTTCAGCGTGATACTTAGTTGGCATCGATACTTTATTTTGATGCTACTCCCAAGTACAGGTATCCATTTCATGGTNGTCTTATACATATACAAATATCGATATAAGTAGGTATGGATACTTTCAGCCTGATACTTAGTTGGCATCGATACTTTATTTTGATGCTACTCCCAAGTACAGGTATCCATTTCATGGCATCGTTTTATCAGAGAATGTTAATTTAATTACATTAACATTCTCTGGTACTACCAACAGTTGTATTTTTTTTTACTGAATAAGGGGCCATTTAATTGCTATCTAGAGAAACCTTTTTAAAATTTTGACTTTCAATTTTATTTTTAACATTTTTTCATACAAGTGTCACGTAATGGAAATACCCATGTAACAACATAAAAAGGTAAAACCATTGAGAGGCAGTCTGACGTTTGTCAACAATATAATTTTAAAATTTGAACGCAGCTCACACACACATTCTCATTTTTAATCTCAAACAACAATAAATGTGAACAATTTAATTTTTTTATTTTCAATTTTATATGATTTTAAAATATTCGCAAGCGTCAGAAAAAAATCATGGCACCGAATTGAGAGCATGTTTTTGTCTTCTAATGTTTTTTATCATGGAAATACCCATAAGTACATAATTAGCTTTTATATATTGAATGAGCCTACTTATTGTATAGTATATAATAAAATTTCAAATCTACATATTTATTCTATTTAAGCTTTCCAAATGCAATAGGAGTTCACTGGGATAACCTATTCCCTAGCTGTACACAAGCGGTTGAAATCAACTTGGTTTCAAATCTGGTTGTTTACAACCCGAAGAATCGGCTGACTGCCTCTGAGGTACGTATGTGAATAGAACACGCACAAAAGGTTCTAAGCAACATCTTTCCGAACAAAATTTACTTACTATTTTTATTATAACAACAAAGCGACTAAACATACATACAGATGTTATCACATATCATTTTACGTTTTACAGGCATTAAATCACGATTATTTCCAGTAGCAAGAATTTGCCCAGTGTTAACGCAATTCTGTCGTCTTTGCCATCGGATTCTCCTTGCCGCAATGAGAAGAGAGTGGTCGAAATACGTACTCGATTGCAAAGAGCCTAACATGATGGACAAAATGTTTAACGGAAAATTTGACCTGAACATATGCATGTATGCACCTAAATTACACAAATTCTTATCCTGTTGAAACCAGTACTGAAGATGAAGCCGGAGCTCAAGGCGGTGACGAAGGAATCGATGTCGCACCGCGCATTTATGACGAGGTACGGAATAGCAAATTCGCGTCAGAAAATCAACAAAACTGGTGGATCTGACGGCCTGCCTGCTAACAGATTGGAGTTAAGGGTTTACTTTTAGTTTTCTTCGGCGTGCTCAATAATTTTGCGTTACCTGATATAAAGAGTGCCCGCACCCAAAAAAAAAATCCAAATTGGGGAAACTGAGAGAACAACATGACATTATGCCGATTATGGGCACTGCCTTGCCCCCGGGCAAAGTTCTTTTAAGCTTTCGATACATTTTGTATAGGCGCGAGCAGAGTAAAAGCTCTCTCTGCCCAACGCTGCATTAGACCTTATGAATAAAAACTAAGCAATTGCTTTTTCTAAATTTCAGTCCTACTACACCTTTTTCAGGTTTAGTTCATAAAGCTGCAATTCATATTCAGAAATTCCATTTCAAATTCAGATAGTTACAATTCAAGTTCAGAATGTCCATCTCAAATTCAGAATTTTCTTTTCANCATTAGACCTTATGAATAAAAACTAAGCAATTGCTTTTTCTAAATTTCAGACCTACTACACCTTTTTCAGGTTTAGTTCATAAAGCTGCAATTCATACTCAGAAATTCCATTTCAAATTCAGAGAGTTACAATTCAAGTTCAGAATGTCCATCTCAAATTCAGAATTTTCTTTTCAAATTCAGAAAGTTGCAATTCAAATTCAGAATTTCTGTTTTAAACTCAGAAAGTTGCAATTCTTATTGAGAAAGTTACATTTCAAATTCAGAATTTCCATTTTAAATTCACAAAGTTGCAATTCAAATTCAGAATTTCTGTTTTAAACTCAGAAAGTTGCAATTCTTATTGAGAAAGTTACATTTCAAATTCAGAATTTCCATTTTAAATTCACAAATTTGCAATTCAAATTCAGAATTTTCATTTCAAATTCAGAATTTTCACTTCAAATTCAGAAAGCTGCAATCCAAATTCAAAATTTTCATTTTATATTCAGAAAGTTGCAATTCTAATTCAGAAAATTACATTTCAAATTCAGAGTTTCCATTTCAAATTCAGAAGGATTCATTTCAAATTTAGAAAGTTACAATTCAAATTCAGAAAGACCGTGAAATGTGAAAGCGGCTCTTAGCGACCAGAACGAGGCTGTTATTAAATAACCTATCGATTGTTTGCAGGATTTGACATCGATGTTCGGACAAATCGATGTATTATTTGCATTCCTTGCGGTATTGGGTACTAGTTGTTTTGTGTACTTTGCCGTTATAGGGCTTTCGCACGTGGCGATTTTTTAGGCAACTTTTAGTTGAAAGCAAAAATCGCCTCGTCCGAACGGCACTTTCAACTAATCGCTTTCAACAAAGTCGGTCGCCAGCCAACTTTGAGCTCGTTCACCTTTTTTTCCTTGCAACCCTGTGTTTGTTTATATTGTGTATACATACTTTTTTCTTTTTTACTTTTTTACTTTTATTTTATCTTTCAGCTTCGCTAAAAGCACGTCTACCAACGCTTGGCTTACCAAATTTACGCAAATTGATAAAATTTTGCGATTTAAATTCATTTTCAATAATGTAAATAACCAGGGAACGGATTTTATAGAAATTACCTTTTTTTCTGCTTCGATTAAGAATGTCCACGATTTAGCTTTCTCTGATTCCATATATACACATTTGATGTTGTCTTTTTTTGCCTTTTTTAAGATATTTGCCTTTTTTTTGCCTCTTTTAAGATATTTGCCTTTTCTACCTTTAAAAAAGTGATTATAGCATTTACAATATTTTTTTAAAGATTAAAAAATATACACATGCACATGCGGCTTATAGAAGCGCAGGGTCCTCTTGCCAAATTGGTGTTGGAAAAATTCAGCTAACGTAGGCTTGGAGACAATAAGGGGTGTGGATAAAATTGTAAGGGCGAGGAAAACGCCCTTATTCCTGATAATATGAACGTTTCAAACGTTCCATATTTAAATTGGGATCCACTTGTATCAACTTACGTCGAGCGCACATTTAGTACATTCAAGGCTTTTCTTCGCGAAAATCGAATGAAAATGCTGCCAGAAAACTTCAAAATGCATCTTGTGGTTCAATGTTACTACAACTATACAGATTAAAGTTTTATGAGTTAGAAACTCGAAAGGATAAAATAGTCAAAGATTTAAAGTACAAATTTTTCATATAATGAAACTAGCTCATAGTTTTTCTCTTTTTACTTGTAATATAAACATTTCTAAAATAAATGTATTTTTTTATTGTTCATCGTATTTTCTGTCTTTTTTTAGTGCCCTATTTTGCTTTTTTGCAATACCTAGTGCCTTTTCCTGCCCTTTTCGCTATTTTTTCCCCCTTTTTTGCAATACCTAGTGCCTTTTCCTGCCTTTTTCGCTATTTTATTTTGCCTTTTCCAGCCTATTTCGTTATTTAATTTTGCCTTTTTTATAGGTTTCGTGTTGAATCGAAAATCGCCTCGTCTGAATAGGGATGGCAACTTTTTCACTTTCAACTTCTCATTCAACTTCGCATTCAACTTTTGTTGCCTGTAAAATCGCCGCGTGCGAATGCCCTATTAGGGATAAAACGATGTCATGGAAGTATCGATACCTGTACTTGGAAGTACATCGAAAGAAAGTATCGAGCTAAAAGTATCGATACCTACTTATATCGATATTTGTATCTATATAAGAATTGTTTGTATAAAAAACGCCATCACATACATGGGCGTAGCCAGGTAGGGGCAGGGGGGTGCTCGAGCCCCCCTAACTTTCAAATTTTCCTTGTATATATATAAAATAGTACCCTGAAATGCCAGCTTAATAGGGTCGAGCCCCCCCCTAAATTTCATTCTGGCTACGCCGATGATCACATATCTATGAATTTTTGTCAAAATAACTTTTGTGACTATAATTTTTGATTTTAGGCGAATGCTACTTAATCTTTTTAAGAACATCTTTAAGTTTTAAAACATGGTTTACTGGGACGGCCTCCCAGAAAACAAGAAAAAAGGCAAAGTCCAATACGATGTTTTTAAAAAGTCCCCAGAATTTTGTTAGCAGAATTGTCTCCGTTTGTATGTCTGTACGTGTTTTATTGTTATACTTATTATTTATTTTGTATGAACGAAGGGAAACCGATTGAGATCAAAAACAATTATTTTATAATTTATTTCATACAAAAGAATTAATGGGAAATGTTTAGTTATTTGCAGGTCGTTTTTTGGGAAGGCGGGCGGAAGGGGAGGAGCTGAACAGCATTTGCAGAGAACACCTTTATATATTTTTAATGCTTCTGGTTTATAACCTATTTTCTTTTATCTCTCATTCTTTTGCATATTTTGGAGTTTGACACCTGAATTCCGCCATTTAATTTGCACATGCAACCGAAGTCATAATTTAGAAGGTGTTTTTATTTAATAAATTGTGATTAATTGGTTGTTTTATATATTCACAATAATAATTAGATTGAAAAAAGTTCGGAAATAAAATTTTCACTGAATCGGGTTTCGATATACCGATACCTACTCAGTACTCGGTTCAAAAGTATCGATACTAAAATTACTTGGTATCGGACGAAAAGTATCGAGTATGTACTTGCATTTACTAGTATCCTTTTATCCCTATTTGCCGTACAGTTTAGCCCAATAATAAATTTTCTTGGTGGTTGCGTGTACCCACTTATTATATTTTTTCGGAATGCGGGATGGAGTAAAGAAAGCTTTTTTGCAAGCGTGTATTAATCATGGTAGCCTAAGCACCGAGCAAATCAATGATGTTTTACCGCCAATTTGCCAAACATGTTTGTATTCAAAAACAAAAATCCCATTTGCTTTCTCTAAAGTGTTTTGTAACAGATGATGCGGACGACGCTCTGGATGTCAAAAAATTGGTGCTAGAAATAAATAATGATTTGAAAGAGCTAAATCAGGAATTAAGTTTTATAAAACACCCGCTGCTGGATAAAGAGTTTTTGGTTTTTGGTCTTACCTTCGAAACGCTAGCCAGCAAGCATCAGCAACATTATACTGAAGCGGATCAGATGTATTTTGCTAAATTAGTAGAAATAATGGCTCCTCAAGAAGATTATAGTATTTCTTGGGTAGATATGTACAATCTCTCGAGTTTAACCCCTACTGCCCGGAAGCATTTGCCAAAGACTCGAATTCAATTTCTAGTAAAAAAGTGGACTGATCAGGGCTATTTTTTAGAAATGGATGATAAAATATATTTTGGGCCGCGTATGTTAGTGGAATATGCCAGTCATTTGAAGACGCATTACTCGGACTACATCAAAGACTGCCCTCTTTGCAAAAAAATTGTGTTATGGGTAAGAAAATATAAAACATTGTACAGAAAGGAAATTTATTAATTAAATACATCTGCAGGATATAAAATGCTCGAGTTGCGGAGCCAAAGTTCATAAAGAGTGTATAAGGACTTTTTTGAAACGTAATTCTAATTGCCCAGCTTGCAGTAACGTATGGAGTACAGCATTGAATTAAAACTTACATACATTACTTCATATTTAATAGTATTATAATATTTTTCCATTATACAAATACACACGGCGTGTGTCAGTGAAAACGTACAGTAGATTTTTTCCATTTCTCGAAAATGTTTTGTTTTTTTTTAAGTTTTATTAATTTAAAACAAGTAATTATCAAGCAAAAAGCAAACCCGACTTCATTTTTCATATAAAAATTTAAGATTATCGTTAACTTCTTTATGATCCGTTGATCGGATTTAAACGAAATTAATATGGGACCACCTGTGAAGTAACAACTTTCCCTTAAAAAGGATTATCGAAACCGGCTAATGTGGTCCAAAGTTNATCAAGCAAAAAGCAAACCCGACTTCATTTTTCATATAAAAATTTAAGATTATCGTTAACTACTTTATGATCCGTTGATC